CAGAGAGAGAGAGAGAGAGAGAGAGCCGAGGTCAGAGAGAGAGAGAGAGAGCCGAGGTCAGAGAGAGAGAGAGCCGAGGTCAGAGAGAGAGAGCCGAGGTCAGAGAGAGAGAGAGAGAGCCGAGGTCAGAGCAGAGCTGGAGGTCAGAGAGAGAGAGACAGAAAGAGAGAGCCGAGGTCAGAGAGCGCCAGAGGCCACCCAGCCTAGCTACCCAGGAGGCCGAGATCCGAGGCTCCCGCTTGGAGCAGCCCAGGCAGGAAGGCCTGAGACTCAGCACCACTTACCCAGCAAAAAGCCAGACGTGGAGCTGTGGTTCAAGTGGTATCGTGACAACCTTGAGTGGAAGAAGAGTGAGCATGATGAGGCCCTGAGTTCAAGTCCCTGTATCAGTATACATGTGCACACACACACACACACACACCAATGGTGAGAGGAAAAGCAAAGGCTTGGAAGGCCGAGTCCAGGAAGAAAGAGTTGGAAGGGCGGGGCTGGCAGCCCCAGATACTCAGGAGGCTGAGATCTGAGGATGGTGGTTCAAAGCCCCGGCAGGAAAGTCTATGAGACTCTTATCTCCCAAAGCTGGAAGTGGAGCTGTGGCTCAAGTGGTAGAGCGCTAGCCTGGAGCCAAAGCAGCTCAGAGACATCACCCAGGCCCTGAGTCCAAGCCCCAGGACTGGAGAAAAAAAAAAGAATTCAAAGGGCTCACCTAGTAAGCAGGAGGCTATGAGTGCATACCCCAGGACCACAAATCATCACTTAAAATCCGGGTGGGCCTAGGAAGCTGCCAAAGGTGTGGCACAAGCTAAGAACGGCAGAAGCTCCGGCCCCTGCAGAGCCCAGCAAGGCCGAGCAAGGCGCCTCCCCCCCCCCCCCCCCCCCCCCGTTGGTTCACAACAGACACAGTCCAGGAAGAACGAATGTGGCAATGCTTCTCCCACAGAACCACACTCCCCGGTGACTTCCAGAAGCTTGTTCCGCAAAGCACTCGTGCATGAGTGACCCGGGACTCAGACACGGAAGGCTTTGGCGCACTAGTGCTTATGGCTGGGAATAACTCACACATCCACTCGGAAGAGAAATCATCTAGTATTTGCTCATTTGGTAAGGGAATGTTAGGGATTAAAAAAATAACAACACTCTTTATGGAACCATCTCTAGGAGAGGCCATTCGGTAATAAAAGCAGGCTACAAGAGCCATGTTCAGGTACTTAATCTTGGTGGGGGTTTGTTTTTTGCTGTTGCCAGTTGTGGGGCTTGAATTCAGGGCCTCCGCACTGTCCCCGAGCTTTGTTTTTTGTTCGAGGCTAACGCTGTATCACCTTGAGCCCCAGCTTCACTTCCAGTTTGGGGGTGGTTCATTGGAGAAGAGTCTCACAGACTTTCCTGCCCAGACTGGCTTTGAACTTGGAGCCTCGGATCTCAGCCTCCTGAGCAACCAGGATTACAGGCATGAGCCCCCAGCGCCTCGCCTCACTTTGTATTCTTAAAAGGCTCATGTAGCCTGTGCTGGGGGCTCACGCCTGTCTGCGGCCGGCTTGCTCCCATGGACCCAACACACAGCACACCTGTAGGTCAGCCACGCAGGTGTCCCATGCTGGGCACCCATGTGCGGACTGCGTCCTGTCTCCTGTCAAGCACGCTAGCCTCCCAGAAGGCCCAGGTCTACCTCCTCTGTCTAGCTCAGCATTGCACTTCCAATTCCTGCCTGGGGGGTCGGGGACCCCCGTCTATGTGTCTGTCAGCCCCCGATGAACATAGGGTCTGTCTGCATCTTCCGTCCATCGTTCTGGAACTCCTCACTCTGGGGGTTGTGGATTCTCAGTTTTTCCTTAACACTAGCCCTAGACCAACAGCAGCAGCAGCACATGCAGAAGCCGGGGCTGTGGATAATGGAAGATGAGACCTGGCCGTCTCTGGCAGCATGTTAGTGCTTTGAAGGCTGGGATAGGTGTTTTTGGCTGTTTAGGGGCGCTGAGCCCCTGTGAACTTTGAGAAGAGGATCAGATTTGTTTTTGGAAGAACCCCTGGGGACAAGCAGAGCAAGGGCTCAGCAGGAAGGTAGCAACCTGGGGGCTTTTGGAGGTCTGGAGTGCTTAGCAGACAGGCCTGGGGCTGGGGGGGGGGCGGGAGGATTGGGGGGGACCAGCTCAGCACTTATGAGATCTGTTTTTTTGTTTGTTTTTTCTTTGCAAAAATAATTTCCCATTGCTACAGCTTTCAAGAATTCAGCTTGGATTTTATTATAAAATTGATTAAAAACACATTTTTTGGGGGGGAGGGAACAAAAAAGGAGGGGTGAAAATCACCACAAGGAGCTGCTTTTACAGGAAACTTTCTTGGAGTCAGGAAGTGGGAAGGGGACTGTGTGAGGGACCGTGTGGGCTGGACCTGGCGGGCTGGGGGCAGCGGGGCGCTCTGGGGCTCTCTGGGCACCCTGTCCCCACGGCGGACAGCTGCGGTCACCTCCAGAGTCTGACAGGGCACTGGGGCCGGGCCGTTCAGGACCCTGGCCCAGCCCCCTGGCGCTGCTTTGAGAGTTCAGCCAGGAAATTGGCCCAGTGCTCAGCCACAAAGCCACATCTCTGCCTCGGCCGGGCGTGGCGTACAATCCCCTCAGCCCCAGTGGAGGGCAGGTCTACGGGGTCCCCGGAAGACATTGGTGTGGAGATGGTGGGAAGTATCAGCACCTTCACGAGGATGCCAGGGCCTGGGGGGGGGGGGGGAGCTCGGGCCTGGGGCGTCAGGTGACTGGCTGAAGTCACAGGGCGGGCGGCCTGACCTCACACCCGTCCTGGCCCAGGTCCCCGGCTGTCCTCGGCAGTGATCTGCAATCTGTGGGATGATCTCAGCCCCTCCTGGCCACAGCTGGGTGTGTGTGTGGGGACAATGGAGGGACGCCAGCCCTGGCCACCACCTCACACCCACGTGTCTCCGCTTGAAACCATGGGTCATCTTTGAGCTCAGAGCTGGGCTCGTGCTGGGCGGTGAAGCTGCCCTGCTAGTTCCTTGTTGGTCCTGAGACTGTGACCCATCTCCCCAGGGTGTCAGCGAGCGAGTTCCCAGACGGGAGGCATGCAGGACTGGCTGGCTCCAGGGGTCACTGGGGGACTAGGAGGGTCAGGAGGTTGTTGGGAGAGAATTCATAGCTACAAGGTAAAGGAGTTGAGAATTGGGGTCCTACAACCCTTCCTCCCCTTCTCAGGTGAGGAACTGCCCTCCCCCCCAGCCACCCATGCCTCCAGGGACACTGAGGACACCATGTTCCCCTTTTCTGGGCAGGGCCAGGCTGACCTGACCCGGCCTGTCCCGAAACCACCCTGAAGGCCAGGCCTGTCCCGAAACCACCTGGAGGCCCATTAGTCACTTTCTAGTCCTGCGGCCTGATACCTGAGCTAATCAGCTCCGGGAGGAAGTGTTGGTCTTGGCTCAAGGCTCTCTGGGGTTTCTGTTCCCAGCGCCACAGAGGGCGTGGAGCCCGGCCTCACCTGGGCCTCATCCGTACCCTCTCTTCCTCTTCTTGCTTCCCCTTTTAGTCTCATGGGATGGTGTCCCCATTGTCTTCCCCCCCATATTCAGGGAGAGTACTCTCTTTGTTCACACACACACACACCTAGCAACAGGCTTTACCCACCGCCCCGGCTTCTCAGTTCAATCCAGTTGCCAGGAAAGCTTGAGCCACGCGGTCCACAGGTGTTCACACCTGTGATTCCAGCCACTCCAGCCACGCTGAGACTCAGTCACCACCAGAAGCCAGCCAGGGCAAGAAAGTCCTCATGACTCCAGGCGCTAAATAACCAGCAAAGAAGCAGGACTGGAGGCATGGCTCAAGTGCTAAGAGCAGTGTGAGTTCAAGCCCCCATGCCAGCGTGAGTTCTACCACGCAGGCCACGCTTTTCCCCAGAAAGCCTCAGATGGGGCCCCCCTCCACCTTCTGAATGCTTCCCCTTCTGGCTTTTTTTTTTTTTTTGTAGTTAACTGAAGTCTCATGGACTTTCCTCCCAGCCTGGCTTCAACCCATGATCCTCAGATCTCAGCCTCCCGAGTAGCTCAAGGGGACAGGCGTGCACTGGGGCTCCCCTCAGGGCAGGGGACCGGTGCGGGAAGGCAGGCTGTAATGGCCAGCTGGGGAGGCCCACGGTGACTGAGGAGGGGAAGGGCAAGGAGGGAGAGGGACAGAGGTTCTTAGTTCTCCTGCATGGAAGCCCTGTCCCCAAGCCTCTGCAGGTCTAGAAGTTTCTCCCCCGGCCGCAGTCCTGTGCGTCCTCCCTGGCCATGCCCTGGGCCGTCTTGGGGGTGGGCACATACTCCCTCTCTGTAGTGGCCTTGCTCCCTTCTGTCCTCCCCCACCCTCTGCGGGCCACACCCGGCCCTCCCTCCCTCCCTCCCTCCCTCGATGCAGAGCACCGGCCTGGACCGTGCGGCCAGTGCCCGCCAGGGGCTGGGCTTAGGCAGCAGAGTGGACAGCATGCGCTGGTCAGGACGTGGAGCCGAGGGGTCAGTGCTGAGGCCGGGCCCCAAGGTCAGGTGCATGGAGCGCCACGTTGAGGAAAGCCCCCGTTTTGATAACGACGTGGGAACTTGCTTCTTTAGCCTTTGACTTGGACCCCGGCTGCCGTAGCCAGGGCTGGGGCGGCTGGGGGGGGGGGGGGGCTTTAGCTGAAGTCTCTGGTTTTCTTACAGTTAGAACTAACGGAACGAGTTTCCTTTTTGAAGCGAAAAAGGGAAGCAGGAAAGGCCTGGCCGCTGCGGGGCCGTTTCCCCGCCTGTCTCTTCTGCGGGCGGTGGTGCAATTCTGCTGAGGGTGAGGGTGAACCGGGGCTGGCCATCCACCGGCCTCGGGGTGCAGGGCGCGCCCGGCCCCCTCAGAAAGCAGGCTGCCTTCTGTGCAGCTTGTGGGGTGCTCAGGGCTTGGAAACGAGAGGACCTGTGGGGAGATCAACCTTGGGAGAGGCCGTGTTGGGCAGGGGGGCGGAAGAAGCTGGGCTCGGCCACGCAAGAAGTGCGTTTCCTTCCTTTATTCCCATTTTACCATCTTGGGGCGAAGGGACGTGGGCGTGGGGAGACTCGAGAGAGGGGCCCAGTCCGCTCACCTGCGCCAGCTCGTCCAGGCCCATTCGGGAGGCTGCCTCTCCCACAGCGGACGCGGCACGGGCCCGCCCCACCGTGTCTGCAGGACTCGGAAGCCCAGGAGCTGAGGAAGGTTCTAGTCAGACACTTGCTTGCACTGGAGGCTCTGCCCCCCCCCCACAGTCCCTGTCCTGCAGCAGCTGGGGACTACCACAGGGGCCGTGGGGTGCGGGGAGGCAGGGCGGGGGTGGGGTGCTCCCCGTTCTCCCGCGGTGCCCGCCTCTGGCTCCAGGTAGAGGCGCTCTGCGGCTGAGGAACTGTGCGGCTCACACGAACTGGGACAGGTTGGGGACTTTGATGTTGAGGTCACCGAGGTTGATGTTGCGCGGGATCTCGGGCAGGTTGATGTTCTTCACTGCGGACACGGCGCGGGCCGGGGCTGCGGACAGACCGCCCTGGGGAGACAGAGGGACAGCCTCAGCGGCTTCCCCCTCCTTCCCCCCCCCACGCTCTGTCTCTGTCTCTCTCTTCCCTCTCTTTGCCAGCCCTGGGACTTGAACCCAGGGCCTGGGTACTGCCTCTGGGCTTCTTTTTTACTCAAGGCTAGCTCTCTATCACTTAAGCCACAACCCCACTTCCGGCTTTTTTCCGGTTAATTAGAAATAAGAGTCTCACAGATCTCAGCCTCCTGGGTGGCTAGGATTACAGGTGTGAGCCGCCAGCCCCCGACGCTATTCTTTTTATTCTTTTTTTTTTTTTTTTTTGGGGGGGGGTCCGGTTGTGGGGTCTGAACTCTGGGTCTGGGCACTGTCCCTCAGCTCTTCAGCTCAAGGCTAGCGCTCTACCACTTGAGCCACAGTGCCACTTCCGGCTTTTTTCTTTTTTTTGCTTATGTGGTGCTGAGGAGTCGAACCCAGGGCCTCATGCATGCAAGGCAAGCGCTCTACCACTGAGCCACCTTCCCAGCCCCCTGACGCTATTCTTTAAACACCAAATAGATGGGAGATGTAGAAAACCTTTGAATTGAGCGCACACAAGAGAGGCTTATATTCAGCAGACGTAATCAATGGAAGGAGTTTAGTTCATGGGGACCGAGAGCCTGCGCCTCCCTGCCCTGGCTGCTCAAAGGTGGGCTGTAGCTACACAGCGCCTTACGCCCTGGCCCTGGCACGCTCTGGACGCCGCTACACTGTGCTCTGAGTCGCAGGAATGGCGGCGGCCGGGCCATGCTGGCTGCTCAGGAGGCTGACTGGGATCTGAACCCGGCAGGCAGGGAAGTCCCCGAGACTCATTTCCCATTAACCACAAAAAGCTGGAAGTGGAGCTGTGGCTCAAGTGGCAGAGCGCTAGCCTGGAACACAAAAACTCAGGGACAGCACCCAAGCCCTGCATTCAAGCTCCAGGACAGACAGACAAGACAGACAGACAGACAGACAGATAGACATACACACACACACACACACACACACACAATCACAGGTGCTTTCCTAGTTGTAGAACACAACAAAACCTTCCTGGAGAAGCTGTGTCTCTGACGAGTGCGGTCATGGAGACTAGCTGGGCAGCTGCTGGGCAGCCCCACCGTGAGCTAGGAGAGGGGAGCCTGGCGACAAAACCGCAGGAGAGAGACACTGCCAGGCTCACCCATGCGGCTCACCCCAACGTGCAGAGAGGAGAGCTGACCAGGGCTCCCGAGGCCCTTCCCACAGCAGTGGGCCTTGGGCTCTTCCGCTTTCCAGACCCTCCTCTCTGACTCACGTTCCTGGAAATGTCCCAGGCTGCACTGCTCAGAGCACTGCGCGCCCACCAGGGCAGAGGCCTGGCCAGGCTTCGTGCAGGGAACAGACAGTCCCCAAGAACAATGTCTGGCTTCAGAAGATCAGCTTCCATGGCACCAAGTGTGTAGTGTGTGTGTGTCTGTGTGTGTCTGTGTGTGTTTGTGTATATGTGTGTGTGTATGTGTGCATGCGCTCCCATGCTGGGGCTTGAACTTGGGGCTTGGGTGCTGTGCTGTCCCTTTTCTGCTGAAAGTTGGCACTCAACCATTTGAGCCACTTCTGGCTTTTTGGTTAACTGGAGATGAGTCTCGCAGACTTTCCTGCCTGGGCTGGCTTTGAACCATGATCCTCAGATCTCAGCCTCTCAAGTGATACGAGGTGTGAGCCACCAGCACCTGGCTTATTCTATTTCTGCACAGGTTAGGGTTCATCTCAAGGGAAGAGGGGGCACACGTGGCAAATGAACTGGCATGGTACTTTCTTCCTTTTTTTTTTTTTTTGTCAGTCCTGGGGCCTGAACTCTGGGCCTGGGCACTGTCCCTCAGCTCTTCAGCTCAAGGCTAGCGCTCTACCACTTGAGTCACAGCGCCACTTCCGGTTTTTTCCACTTATGTGGTGCTAAGGAATCGAACCCAGGGCTTCATGCATGCAAGGCAAGCACTCTACCACTGAGCCACCTTCCCAGCCCCTGGCATGGTACTTTCAAACCCTGATTCCCAACTCTGCTGCAGCTTTTCACAAGGCCAACTGAACACGAGGAAGCCTAGGACTCTGGGGCTGAAAGACATCACAATAAATGGCTCAAAGAACACACAAACTAGGGGAATGTGAGAAGGGAATTCTGGGTCCCTGGGGGAACATGCGCCTTGGAGAAGGAATTCTCAATAATAAATGGGCCATAACTAGGGTGAGCACTGGCGGCTCTGGGATCTGAGAACCCCATTTGAGGCCGGCCCATGTAGAACAGTCTTTGAGCTGGGTGCTGGTGGCTCATGCCTGTCATCCTAGCTACTTACTCAGGAGGATGCATAGATCTGAGGATTGTGATTCAAACCAGCCCAGGCAGGAAAGTCCATGAGACTCTTATCTCCAATAAACCACCAGAAAACTGGAAGTAGTGTCGTGGCTCCAAGTAAAACAGCGCTAGCCATGAGCAAGAAAGCTGAGTGATAGCATGAAGTCCTGAGTTCAAGCCCACTACTTACTGGCAGGCAGGCACGCACACACACGTGTGTAAGCATGCACGCACGCACACACATGTACATGCGCATACACACAAATAATAACCAAAATCCAGAAGCAGGTTGCTCCTCTGTCAGAGCCTTTCTGTTCATACGTCGCCTTCAAAGCCTAAGGTTCCATGCCTCCTTGTCCTCCTCCTTTTCAGACAGCCTTCCGACTGGTCCGCCCCACGGAATCGGGGAAGGAGGAGGCGCAGAGGGCATTTCCAAGCCCCCCTCCCACAGGAGTACATGTGCACACTCACCCAGGTATGGCGAGGATGCGGCTGCTCACTCACCTCCGACTTCTCCAGCCTGCTCTGAGCGTCTATCTGAGCCACGATCTCATTCATGTTGGTCTCCAGCACCATCCCGCCCATCACCACCTCCTGGAGGATGTAGTGCACCTGGGGGAAAGCAGACAGGGCGGGCGGGAGCTCTGCAGGCGCCTTCCTGTGGCTCGGTGGTCACGCGCGGGCCTGGGGTCCAGGCTCCTGCTGTCCTGCTGTGACACCAGGGCCCTGCCCGGTTCCCAGCATGAGGCCTGGCTCCAGTCCCCGATTCTCACACATCCAGGCACGAAGCCCCCCCCGCCCCCCCCCCCCACCCCATCCTAAGCATGCCCAGCATGGAAAGCCTCTCTCCAGCAGTGCCAGAGGAGTTGGAGAACAGAGGCTGAGGTCCGGTCCAGGGCTGTTTAAGCCGAGTTGTTTCAGGCCCTGGCGCAGGGAGGGGGTGGGACAGGGACCAGCGCTCCTTCACAGGAGGACTGAGCCTAAGACAGGACCAGGACGACCACAGAATGCTGCACCGAGTCTCACCACAGAACGCTGCACCGAGTCTCACCACAGAATGCTGCACCGAGTCTCACCACAGAACGCTGCACCGAGTCTCACCACAGAACGCTGCACCGAGTCTCACCACAGAATGCTGCACCGAGTCTCACCACAGAACGCTGCACCGAGTCTCACCAAAGGGGCAGGACGGGGAAGGGAAAGGGAGGGACACAGAGGCTGGGCCTGCTCTCCCCACGGCCAGCGCTCTACCACTTGAGCTACAGCGTCACTTCTGGTTTTCTGGTGGTTTATTGGAGAGGATTCTCATGGACTTTCCTGCCTAGGCTGGCTTTGAACCTCGATCCTCAGATCTCACCCTCCTGAGTAGCTAGGATGACAGGCGTGAGCCACCCGCACCCAGCCAAAACATTTTTTTAAACTTCATTTTAAAAACAACTTTTGTGCTGGTACACAGAGACCTGAAACATCACACACCCGCTCTGGTAGGCACAGCCCCCCCTAGGGGAAGCCAGCGGACGAGCAGCAGCAGCCCGGGCAGTCTCCTGAGCAGGGCGTGGTTCTCGGGGTGCAGATGGAGGGGCCTGAGCCTGCTGCAGGCTGTGCAGCCCAGAATCGAAACCGAACCCATGGCCTTGCACGACACCTGCACCCAGAGATACAGTCAGAGTGCAAAGGGCTCTGCGGAAGAACAGGAAGAGACGGATGACTGGACAGACAGATGGACAGACCTAGAGGGCACAGATGGAGATCGAGATAAATACCAAAGGAATTGACAACCCAGGGAACAAATCTGAGCCCTGAGCCCTGTGGACAGAACCCCAAATGACAGGGGTCAAAGCAAGTGAAGAGCAGAGATCTCCCAGGACCCCAAACGCGGCGCTACGTGCACCGGGCAATGGGAAAGCTCTTGGCTACCCACGACGCACTGAGACAAAGACCTTCAAAGTCTACTTCCAGGGTCTGAACAAAAGTGCTATTGATTCCTTCATTCCTGGCAAATCCAGCCATCATCTGATCTGGAAATAATCACAACCAACAAGAGTCTCACCTCAACACAAGGATTAGGACAGCTCAAGACACCGAGAGACCAACAGGGGAGAAAGGAAAATGCCAAAGAGTGCAGTGAAATGTGAGGAACGCTGCGTCCCAGGTCCACACCCATGAAACGGTGAGCGAGAGCACATGTTACAGCTCTTCATACTCCAGGTCTTCTCCTGACACCCTTTAAAACAGTCAACAGTGAGAATTTCAGGCCAGGGCGCCTGTGGCTCACGCCTGTCATTCTAGCTACTCAGGAGGCTGAGATCTGAATGATCACGGTTCAAAGCCAGCCCGGGCAGGAAAGTTCTGTGAGACTCTTACCTTCCATTAACCACCAGAAAAACCAGGAATGGCGCTGTGGCTCAAATGGTAAAGTGCCAGCCTGCAGCGAAAAGACAACTAAGAGTACAAGGTCCCAACTTCAAGCCCCAGTGCCATCCATTCTCCCAAATCCAGTCAAATGTGGATTCCTGACCCCCTATGAAGCCTCTCCACTGTCCTTGCCCAAGCCTCTGTGTCCCCTGCAGTTTTTCGTTTCTGTTGCTGGAGGCACTGGAGTTGAACTCAGGGCCTGGAGCTTGCTAAGTGGGTTCTCTACCACGTGAGTCGCGCACCGGTCCCTTTTTGCATCGGTCACTTTCAAGACAGGCTCGTGTTATGCCCAGGCCAGCCTGGACTGCAATCCTTGTGCCCTGTGTGCTGGGATGGTAGGCACACACCAGTATACCCAGGCGCTGGCTGAAATGCTGACTCAAACTGTGACCGAAGTGGCCTCAAGCAGTAAACCTCAATCTCTGCCTCCCAGGTGGCCTGGGACACCACACCTAGCTTCAGGTGCTGTGTGGTTTTTTTTTTCACTGAATCATCATGTCCTCCTCACTCTGAAGGACCTTGTTTCTCTAACCAGATCTACCTTGTACCCAATTTGACCTTGCCATAACATTGTGTGAGTAAAGCTACCTCTTCAATGCTGGGCATACCTGTGCATACCTACAATCTCCGCCCTCAGGAGGCTGAGACAGGTGGATCAAGAGTTCGAGGCCAACCTGGCCTATCAATGAAACCCTGTTTTGAAAGGCAACCCACAAGGGAAAGCTATCTGTTTGAGACCTTGCTCATCCTCACCCCCGCAGGCTGTATGAATGTCCCAACCAGGACAGAAACCCAGAAGCCAGCGGGCAGGCCTCCTGGGGGCCGGCCTGCTCCCAAAGGACACAGGAAGACACATGTGCCTGTGCTAAGGACACGGCGGAGCCTGGGGACCATGGTCCCCTGGAGGGCGGGCCTCCCCGATGCAGCGCATCGAATATTTAAGCTGAAACCTTTTAGTGCACTTTCTACACACACAGTAAGACTCTTGGGTTAACAGCTCACAAAAGCCAACGTAACCCATGGAGATGCAGCCCTGAGGACATGGAGTGAGAGCGAGCCCCTAGGTCACGCAGGGCATGGGACACAGCCAGCCGGGCACAGTGAGCAGCGCTGGTCCGGGGAAGTGGTGGGTGGAGGCGGCAGGCCGGGCAGCCGCAACTCTCCACACCATGCCCCGCACCTACACTACCTGCACTAACCCAGGGCAGGAGAGCAGCAGCACTCTGCACGCAATTTTCTTTACTCAAACCTGTAATCTTTTTGTTTTGTCGGTTTTGGGGCCTGAACTCTGGGCCTGGGCGCTGTCCCTCAGCTCTTCAGCTCAAGGCGAGCACTCTACCACTTGAGCCACAGCGCAACTTCCGGCTTTTTCTGCTTATGTGGTGCTGAGGCATCAAACCCAGGACCTCATGCATGCAAGGCAAGCGCTCTACCACTGAGCCACCTTCCCAGCCCCTCAAACCTGTAATCTTAACTACTATGGAGGCAGAGATGGAGAATGACGGTTCAAGGCCATGAAACTCCATCTCGAGTCATGGCTAAAGTCACATGCCTACACTGTGTCAGCACATAAAAGTAACGTGTGAGGTTCAAAGCATCTCATCTTCAACAAAAGAATATGACTGTAGTAGGAACTGTTCTCAGGTATGCTAACATCAGAGGCTATGTGGAGTAGGAAGAAGAACTGAAGGTAAGATGTAGACCTGGGCCAGGTGCAGTGGCCACTCCTGTAATCCTAGCTACTCAGGAGGCTGAGATCTGAGGATCAAGGTTCAAAGTGAACCTGGACGGAAAAATCCATGACTCTCTATCTCCAATTAGCTACCAAAAGGGCTGGGAAGGTGGCTCAGTGGTAGAGTGCTTGCCTTGCATGCCTGAGGCCCTGGGTTCGATTCCTCAGCACCATATAGCAAAAACAAAAAAAAAGCCGGAAGTGGCGTTGTGGCTCAAGTGGTAGAGCGCTATCCTTGAGCTGAAGAGCTGAGGGACAGCGACCAGGCCCAGAGTTCAAGCCCCATGACCAGACCCAAAAACAACAACAAAAAAAAAACAATTAACTACCAAAAAAGCCAAAAGCAGCTCAAGTGGTAGAGCACTAGTCTTGAACAAAAAAAGCTCAGAGACTGCACCAAAGCCAGGAGCTCAAGGAACAGCGCGCGCGCACGCACACACACACACACACACACACACACACACACACACACACACTCACACTGATGGACCCTGTCCTCAAAGCTCTCCAAAGCAAAGAAGATAAAAACAGCAAAGAATTGACTGCAGTAAGAGAAAGACGAGGGAGATAAGAACCAGGACCAAAGTACAGGCACCGTCAGCTCAGGGAGGGAGCCCCTGGCACAGGGAGTGGTAAACCATCCGCAATGCCATTACCCTTCCAGCTCCGAGATCCCTCTTCTGTAATACAAGTCTGGTCCTCCACGGCAGAGGTAAACTACCTCGAGAGAGGGGATGAAGGGAGAAGCTCAAGGCAGGGCATCAGCAAAAGCCCAGCTGCCTGGGGAGTAACCAGCAGCTCCGGAGAAGCAGGGCTCCAGCCCCGCCGGCCACGACCAGCTGCCTCCTTCCGGGTGGCAGGGCGGCTATCCAGGACTCCTAGAGGAAATATTTAAGGCCTAGGCACTGAGAGAGTGGCCGATCCGAGACTCCCACGAAAAACAGTGGAGAGCAGGAAGCATGACTCCAGTGGTAGAGCACTTGCTTAGCGGGTCTGAGTTCAAACCCCAGTAACACACACACACACACACACACACACACACACACACTAAGGATGGCATGGCATTTACTGGGATATACTGATATCTCTATTGTCTTCTGACAGACTTTAGATTTACGTAAAAGAACAAAAAGCCCACTTTCTATTAACAAGATACAACTGAATTCACAATTATATTACATGAGGACAAGAATAAGGCTGAAATGTCCTGAGAAGAAAGTCACCTGCCAGGGCTGGGATGTGTCTCAGCGGTAGAGCGCTTGCCTAGTATGCATGAAGCGCTGGGTTCGATTCCTCAGTACCACATACCTAGAAAAAGCCAGAAGTGGCGCTGTGGCTCAAGTGGTAGACTGCTAGCCTTGAGCAAAAGACGCTCAGGGACAGTGTCCAAGCCCTAAGTTCAAGAACCAGGACTGGCACGAAAAAAAAAAAGAAAGAAAAGAAAAGAAAAGAAAAGAGGGGGGTGGAGGAGGGAAGAGAGAAAGTCACCTGCCAGAAAACACCTTTGGACACTGTAAAGGTGAGCAGGGTAGATTCTGACATATGGCATTATCACTTTTCAAAAGCTCCAAGAGATACAGTCATTTCCCAATGCCACATCAACAGCAGAAAAAATAAACAGTTCCATAAATGGTGCAAGAAATGTGCAGTGGCAGCAAAGTGCTTTATGGAACTGACTTAAAGATAAGTGCACGAGATGGAGCCAGAGTTGATGACCTTTATCTCCCTGGGAAAGGCATGGCAGGGCTGGAGCAACCTCCTCCCAGATGCCCACCGGGCAGGGCTGGAACGGGGAAAATGAACACAGAAAGGGCTTCCATCCATGCTGACCTTCATGTTGAAAACACTCGCCTCCAAGAGGAATATCCACAAGAAACTTACCACCATGGGATGGAAAGCTCCCTCTGAAATCAGGAACAAGACCTGACACCTATGACTGCAACTGGAGAGCCTCATCAGCAGAGTATGACAAGAAGGAAGGAAGGAAGGGAGGAAGGGAGGGAGGGAGGGAGGGAGGGTGAGCCCATGGGCTGGAAAGAAACTTACACAATAACTCATCTACATAAAATATCAGAATTAGTAAGAATTTAACGCAGGCTTTTGTCTCAATATCAACATATAAAGTGGTTTTTTTTTTTTTTTTGGGTCCGGTCGTGGGGCCTGAACTCTGGGCCTAGGCGCTGTCCCTCAGCTCTTCAGCTCAAGGCTAGCGCTCTACCACTTGAGCCACAGTGCCACTTCCGGCTTTTTTCTTATGTGGTGCTGAGGAATCGAACCCAGGGCCTCGAGCATGCAAGGCAAGTGCTCTACCACTGAGCCACCTTCCCAGCACAAAGTGGTCTTCTTTTATCCTTTTTTTTTTTTTTTTTTGGGTTCAGTCGTGGGGCCTGAACTCTGGGCCTGGGCGCTGTCCCTCAGCTCTTCAGCTCAAGGCTAGCGTTCTACCACTTGAGCCACAGCGCCACTTCCAGCTTTTTTCTTTTTGCTTATGTGGTGCTGAGGAATCGAACCCAGGGCCTCATGCATGCAAGGCAAGCGCTCTACCACTGAGCCACCTCCTCAGCCCTTTTATCCTTTTTTTTTTTATTATGGCTTGGACTGGAGTGTGAATGTTAGGGCCTCTTGCTTGCTAAGCTGGTTCTCTTACCATTTGAGCCACGCTCCAGCCTGGCTTTTTACTGGTATTTTGGGGGCAGTATTATGGGCTTTTCTGCCCAGGCTGGTCTTGAACTGCACACCCTCTAAATCCTCCAAGAGGATGGAGACCCTTCTGCTCCCACTAGTAGTATGGTGTGAACTCCTGGTGCTTGACTCTTATAAAGTGATGTCTTATCTATAGCAACAATAAATTAAAACTGAGTATTCTAAATGCCATATGCATACAAAAGTGGTATCTACAGCTGGATACCATGACTCATGCTTGTAATCCTAGCTGTTTTGGAGGCTATCTTTTTTTTTTTTTTTTGGGGTCTGGTTGTGGGGCCTGAACTCTGGGCCTGGGCGCTGTCCCTCTAGCGCTCTACCACTTGAGCCACAGCACCACTTCCGGCTTTTTTCTTTTTGCTTATGTGGTGCTGAGGAATTGAACCCAGAGCCTCATGCATGCAAAGCAAACTCTACCACTGAGCCACCTTCCCAGCCCCTTGGAGGTTGAGATCTGAGGACTGAAGTCTGAAGCCAAGCAAGACAGACAAAGTTGAGAGACTCTTATCTGTAATAAATCTGCAAAAAGCTAGAAGTGAGGTGTGGCCCAAGTGGTAGAGCCTCAGCCTTGAATGAAAAAGCCAAATGAGTGAAAGGCCACCGGGCGCCGGCGGCTCACGCCTGTCATCTTAGCTACTCAGGGGGCTGAGGTCTGAGGATCACAGTTCAAAGCCAGCCTGGGCCGGGAAGGGTGAGAGACCCTTATCTCCAACGAACCACCAGAAAACTGGAAGTGGTGCTGTGGCTCAAGTGGTAGAGCACTCGCCTTAAGCTGAAGAGCCCAGAGTTCAAGCCCTACAACCGACAAAAAAAAAAGAAAAGGAATCAAATAAAATGAGAAGACGCTGGAAACACTAGGAACAGCGCATCCACATGCACTCTGATGCTGGCCTGGTGAGAAACAAGCTAGCAGGGAATCGGGGCGTGGAGGCGCTGCCTCCGGCGTGGACCACGCAGGCCGGCATGGGGACAGCGTCGCTGGCGGCCTCCTGTGGTGAGCACCCAGCCCAGGCCGAGCTCACACAAGCACACAGCTGTGAGCGTTTCCTCGGGGAACGGACACATGCCCTGGTCTCCACATTGCTCTGAGGAACGGCGTCAAAGCCGAGTTAGGGTTTTTCTAATGTGTCATTCCACTGGCGTAGGCCTGGCTAGCTCCCTTCATAATCAACATGACAGCTGCGTGCATCTCACGCGTGGCCGTCTACTGCCTCAGTGTCACCACTGCCCCAGGCCAAGGAGTCTGCCTGAGAGGAAGGGACACGGGACACAGGCCCCGTCAGGGTCCCATGCGTGCTAAAGGGTGGGAGATCGTTGAAATAAAAGCCTCTCAAAACTATGAAGCATACTAAACAGAACAAGTTCAGGCTGGAAGCACGGCTCAGAGGTACTGTGCTCATCCGGTGGGTGAGGTTCAATCCTCAACACTGCAAAGGGAATTTGAATACTAGAACGAGAGAGAGTAAAGCATCCAAAGAAAGAACTCGGGGGGCTGGGAAGGTGGCTCAGTGGTATAGTGCTTGCCTAGCATTCATGAGGCCCTGGGTTGGATTCCTCAGCACCACATAAGCAGAAAAAGCCATAAGTGGTGCTGTGGCTCAAGGGGTAGCGTGCTCTCTTTGAGCTGAAGAGCTGAGGGACGGTGCCCAGGCCCAGAGTTCAAGCCGCATGACAAAAAAAAAAAAAAGAACTCGGAGGCTCAGGGGCGGTAGCCGTGCCCTCGGCTTACAGCCCCTGGCAGCCCCAGCGGGGAGGGGAACATACCTTGTCCATATGGAAGATCAAGTCCAACTCACACACATTTTCAAAACACTTATCCAGAGTCTCCACAAAAACCTAGACAGGAGGAGACAGGAGGAGACATCAGCACATGTGACAGTAAGAGTCCCCGGTCTCATGCCTGGACACAGCGTCCATCTTGGAGGCTGGGGTGGGACACTGCCTGGCACCGGGGTCTCAGACGAGGCAAGGCCAGGGGCCAGTCACCACACTCCGCACCGACCATCACTCCCGGCCCCACCCCGCCTGCCGCCATCAGTCACCCATCCTCCCACCGCCCCAAATTCACCTAAGGCAGGAAAAGCTTGTGTTCGTGGTGGCAATACAACCAGCACGCTCACACAGCCCCCTTCCCTCCATGAGATGCGAATCTCCATAAAGTAACTGGGCAACAACTACTTCTACGAACGCCAGTCCTTTCCTCCGGCCTCAATGGAACGTGCGTACAGAACACATTTCCATTACTATCAACAGCGTAGTCTGCTGATTTCAGTGGACTTCAACTTCAAGACATCTCACCGTGAACCAGCTTAACTTCTGCCTCCCACATAGGTACACCTTAACTTTTTTTTTTTCCAGTCCTGAGGATTGAACTCAGGGCCTGGATACTGTCCCTGAGTTTTTGTGCTCAAAGCTAATGCTCTATCACTTGAGTCATAGCTCCACTTCTGGCTTTTTGGTGATTACTTGTAGATAAAGAGTGTCACAGACTTTCCTGCCCTGGGCTGGCTTCAAACCACCATCCTCAGGTCTCAGCCTCCTGAGTAGCTAGGATGACAGGCATGAGCCAAAGACACCCAGCTCTCTTTCTTCTTTCTTATCATTTTCCTTTCTTCACTAGTGACCATTTCTTCTATATTACTTGTCATTGTTTGTTCCTTTTGTCTGGTTCCTCAATTCACAGATTTTTCTCAGATACCTGAAAACCCTTGTTTTCGTTAATAAAAAGCCTAGCTAGCCGGGCGCCACTGGCTCACGCCTGTAATCCTAGCTACTCAGGAGGCTGAGATCTGAGGATCTGGGTTCAAAGCCAGCCCAGGCAAGGAAAGTCCGTGAGACTCTTGGCAGTAGAGCGCTCGCCTTGAGTTGAAGAGCTGAGGGACAGCGCCCAAGCCCAGAGTTCAAGCCCCACGACCGAAAAAAAAAAGGCCTAGCTAGGTGCCAGTGGCTCATGCCTGTAATACTAGCTACTCAGGAGGCTGAGGTATGAGAATCACAGTTCCAAAGCCAGCTTTGGTAGGAAAATTCATGAGATTCTTACCTCCAATTAATACCAAAAAGTTAGAAGCGGAACTGGCTCCAGAGACAGAGCTCCAGCCTTTAGTGAAAAAGATATGGGACAGAGCCCAGGCCCTGATATGAAGCCCTAGACCAGAACCAGCACAAACAAAACAAACAAAAAACTATGAAAAGCAAGCACAGTGCTAGCTAGGGCTGTCCAGACGCTTCCCTGGAGCGCCACCTGGTGGCCATCGGCAACCTTTACCCCCCCACCCCCACCCCCCAACAGAACCAGAAGACCCCATAAGCTGCTGACTCAGAAACGCAGTGTCACCACAGCTGACTGCACCTGGATGTACCTGGATGAGGTCCAAGATCCCAAGTTCACTCTCTGACGAGTCCACACAGAACACGAAGTAGAGGGTGGCGTAGTGCCGGTAAATCAGCTTGTAGTCAGAGCCGCCAATCAAGCTGTAGGAGATGGAAAAGGCGTGGAAGCAGCACTGTGGCTCTAGAGGTAGAGCGCTCGCCTTGAGCTGAAGAGCTCAGGGACAGTGCCCAGGCCCAGAGTTCAGACCCCCTACACCACCCCCCCCAACACACACACACACACGATGAAAAAGGCTGACACACCTGCACCAAGGGATGAGAAAACGGCCCACAGGAGGAGGAAGGCTAAACACTGGAACAGGACCCTTTCCACTACCTCAGGGCAAGCTTTCACCTCACCCGTCCTCCCTCCTGTCCCCCCAGACACCGCACATCTGAGTAACAGAGGAAGCACCATCGCACAATGCCTTCCAACACAGCCATGCCAGACCAGGGCAAGCTGTGGCAGAGACCCCTCTGATAGCCACGGTCCAGGGCAGTCATGCCAATGGCCGCTCGGGAGAGAACAGGGGCGGACGGTTACCTTCCACCTTCCAAGAAGTTACAGATGTTGTCGTCACGCTTGAGGACCAGATGGAAAGTCTCCCGGACAATCTGCTGTTGAATGTCTTCTGGCTGCAGGACAACCATGAAAATGAACTCAGTGGGCATGTCTCAAGAGCCACAGCCTGGGGCTGGGAAGGTGGCTCAGTGGTAGAGCGCTTGCCTTGCATGCCTGAGGCCCTGGGTTCGATTCCTCAGCACCACGTAAGCAAAAAGAAAAAAGCCGGAAGTGGCACTGTGGCTCAAGTGGTAGAGAGCTAGCCTTGAGCTGAAGAGCTGAGGGACAGCGCCCAGGCCCAGAGTTCAGGCCCCACGACCAGACCCAAAAAAAAAAAGAGCCACAGCCCATGGTGAGGACCGTAAGGACCGGAGGACTTAGGCGAGCTCAGTCTCCGGACTCCCGGATTGAAGATAGAAGCCACTGATGCCTGACTGGTTTTTTGTTTGTTTTGTCTGGTGGGGCTTGAACTCAAGGTCCTGAGCATTTTTGCTCAAGCTAGTGCTCAACCATTTTGAGCCACAGCTCTAGTTCCAATTTTCTGATGGTTAATTAGAGATTTCTGGTGGTTAATGGGATTACAGGTATACAGGTATGAGCCACCAGTGCTTGGCTTTTTTTTATGTATACTTCAATCTATGTAATAAAATGTAATCTAGCTGAGTTTGGTGGCTCATGTCTGTAATCTTATCTACTCAGGAGGCTGAGATTTGAGGATCTGAGTAGCTAGAAGTAAGGCATGAGCCACCAGCACCTGACCCGAGATGCTTATCTCCAATAAACTACTCAAAAAGCCAGAAGTGGAGCTCAAGTGGTAGAGAGCTTGCCTTGAGCAAAGAAGCTCAGTGACAGAGGCCAGGCTTTCAGTTCAAGCTCCAGGACTGGTACCAAGAAATTAAAATAAAACAAATGCAACCTGCTTTACAAGTTCCATAAAAAGGCTGGGGATGTGGCTTCAAGGGCCGAGCATTTAAACATCAGTACTACACATACTCACAGAAAGGATATGAGGAAAATCCCAGCAAAAGGGATTAAAACCTGAAAGGTTTATTAACTTGCCAACAGATACAAGAGTAGCTCAGGTGGAGCTGGGTCCTGACTCAGTTTTCTACTTCTCTTCTCTCTTGGATCTCGGAAACCCAGACACAAAGAAAATGTTCAGCCAAGTGCTAGAGGCCCAAGCATGTAATCCTAGCTACTGAGGAGTCTCAGATCGTAGGATCACAGTTCAAAGGCAGCCTAAGCAGGAAAGTCTGTGAGACTCTTATCTCCAATAAAGCACCAAAGAAATCCAGAAGTGGAGTTGTGGCTCAAGAACACTAGCCTTGGGGATGGGAAGTTGGCTCAGTGATAGAGTGCTTGCCTTGCATGCATGAGGCCCTGGGTTTAATTTCTCAGCACCACATAAGCAGAAAAAAGCCAGAAGTGGTGCTGTGGCTCAAGTGGTAGGGCACTAGGCTTGAGCTGAAGAGCTGAGGGACAGCGCCCAGGCCCAGAGTTCAGCCCCCACAACTGGCCAAAAAAAAAAGAACACTAGCCTTGAGTACAAAAACTCAAGAGACAGCCCTGAGTTCAAGCCCCAGTACTGACATAAAAAAAAAAAAAAAAAGAATAAACTATACAGAGACAGGAAGCAAATAAAAAAATCTTGTGTTTTTCCAGGGGAATGCTTTTGGAAAATTCAAACATGACCACATTGTGACCGCATGTGACAGACAATTTCTCACCACTTCTCCATTTTTAAAGAGACTTTTTTTCCTCTACCTACAAAAATGAAGGGTATCTGGTCAGTGGAAAGTTCCAGCCAATAATAAAGTAAAATAACTCCAAAAAGGAACTTTTCCAGTTCCTAGATGGAAAAGAAATGAGAAGAAAAGAAACCCAATGTTTCCTGGACATTTAAAATACTATCAAAACGAATCCCAGAGAATGGAAACATGGTTTTCTGTTGGTAGTGGTGGTGTTTTCTTTTCCTGTGGGTTTGGGGGAGTGCAGTAAAGGGAGGGCACAGAAGGGGAAGGAGGATGAAGAGATGCACTCAAGCTCTTCACGATGTGGACAAATGTAGACATGAACTGTGTAACGTGTGGGCATGGGTGGGAGCGGGAAAGTGAAGGCCGAGGTGACACTGTCCAAAAAGAAATATACTCACTACTAGATCCATGAAATGGTAACCCCTCTGTACATCACTGTTGTTTATATTTATTTATTGCCAGTCCTGGGGCTTGAACTCAGGGCCTGGGCGCTGTCCCTGAACTGCTTTTGCTCAAGGCTAGCGCTCTACCACTTGAGCCACAGCACCACTTCTGGCTTTTGCTGTGTCTGTAGTACTGAGGACTCGAACCCAGGGCTTCGTGCATGGTAGGCAAGCATCTACCACTGAGCCACCTTCCCAGCCTGTACATCACGTTTATGATAACAATAAAAAATGAAAATAAAAGTGTAGTTATGTATTTTTTTTTTAAAGCGCAGCCAACAAGCCTAACAGCTGAAGGAAGTGACGTCAGCTACAGGAAGCGGCTGCACCTGAGGTTCGCACCGTCACCCACACCTGGGGCCCGGAGTGCGAGAGTCACCCAGCGCAACGCAAGGCCGGGGCCGCGGGACGAGAGGCTGGGGGCGCGGGGCGCGGGGCGCGGGGCGCGGGGCGCGGGCGGCCGGGCCGCGCCCAGGCCCAGGCCCTCGCGAGCGGGAGCCCCGGCCGGGCCTGAGCGGCGCCCGCGGCCGCGGGGCTCGGGGCGGGGCCCGGGGGCGCGCGAGGCCGGGCCGCACTCACGAAGCGCTGGTAGAAGCGGACCAGCCGCGGCTTCCCGTGGTTGTTGAAAACCAGAATCGCCTGGATCATCGTTGACAGCCACGCTTCTCCCTCCACTACTTCCAGAGAGCACCTACTTCCGCCACAACAAGGGGGCTTCCGGGTGGTGTCCCGCTGATAGAACGCCCCCGGAAGCGCATCCGGACGCCTCTCATTGACGTCATCCTGGCGTCCCCGTCCCCCCCGGAAACTCAGCCCGAGCGCGGAGGGGTCCGGCCTGGGGCGCCGCTGGGCGCGGGAGGACACGGTGCTGCAGACATGGCGAGCGGCGGGATGAGCGCTCTGGGCTGCAGTTTGTCCGACGCACCGGCGATCCCGACTTGGTGACATGCTTGTTTCCGGTGCAGGTGCAGTGCAGCGTGCCTGCAGACTGCGGGGGGGGGGGGGGACCCCAGGGGAAAGCAGCCCGTCGTCCAGGCCCCGGCGTCATGTATGAAGTCTTCACGACCTTCGACTCCGAGAATTAAGTGCATTTTGTTCCACGCGCATAGGAGGAAGGCTGAATGCGTCTTCAGAATTGATCTGAGACATGTATGCCTCCGGGGAATGCTGGTGGCCTGTCTGGTAGTTCATATTACATGGAGTAGATTTGCTTTGCTCTGGGTTGTGAGTGAATACGGTATCGCACGAATGGTAATTGTATGGGGGGGAGGGGGGACTGGGTCCCTGGGGACCAGGCCCAGGCCCTGGACAGCGCCCTGACGTGCCACCCTTTGGATCCTGGGCACTTCAACCAGAGTTCTCATCTGTCCAACAGAAATGGAGCAGCTGCTCCATGGAAAGCCGGAGGAAGTCTGCTCACCTCAGTGTTACAAATACCAAGGGAGCCTGCACCGGGATGGCCCAGGATGCACTGGGAGTGCAACATAAGCGGCTCCCCCCCCTCCCCCCCCCCCCTCGTAGGGCTTGAACTCGGCCTGGGCACTGTCCCTAGGTGATCACTCTACCATTTGAGCCACCTCACTTTTCTGGATAGTTCATTGGAGATGAGTCTCATGGATTTCCTGCCCAGGCTGGCTTTGAACCACAATCCTTAGATCTCAGCCTCTTGAGTAGGATAACAGGCATGAGCCACTGGCGCCCAGCATAAGTAACTTTTTTTTTCTTTGGGGGGGGTCTGGTCGTGGGGCCTGAACTCTGGGCCTGGGCGCTGTCCCTCAGCTCTTCAGCTCCAGGCTAGTGCTCTACCACTTGAGCCACAGCACCACTTCCGGCTTTTTTTCTTTTTGCTTATATGGTGCAGAGGAATCGAACCCAGGGCCTTAGGCATGCAAGGCAAGCGCTCTACCACTGAGCCACCTTCCCAGCCCCCATAAGTAACTTTTAAAACATCATTGGTGAGGTCTGGGAAGGTGGCTCAGTGGTAGAGTACTTGCTTTGCATGAGGCCCTGGGTTCAATTCCTCAGCACCACATAAGCAGAAAATGCTGGAAGTGGTGCTGTGGCTCAAGTGGTAGAGTGCTCTTTTGGGGCAAACAAAGCTCATGGACAGTGCCAAAGCACTGAATTCAAACCCTAGAACTGGCACGCACACACACACACACAGTATCTAGAGCCAGACACTGGTGGCTCACATCTGTAGTGTCAGGTATTCAGGAAGCTGAGATCTGATTATTGAGGTTCAAAGCCAGCCTGGGAAGGCCATGAGACTTTTTTTTTTTTTCCTTTTTTTTTTTTTGCCGGTCATGGGGCCTGAACTCTGGGTCTGGGCGCTGTCCCTCAGCTCTTCAGCTCAAGGCTAGTGCTCTACCACTGGAGCCACAGCACCACTTCTGGCTTTTTCTGTTTATGTGGTGCTGAGGAATCGAACCCAGGGCCTCATGCTTGCAAGGCATGCACTCTACCACTGAGCTACCTTCCCAGCCCGGCCATGAGACTTTTATTGGCAATTAACCAGCAAAATGCCTGAAGTGGAAATGTGGTTCAAGTGGTAAAAAAACATCCTTAAGTAAGAATAGAGACAGTATCCAGACCCTGAGCTCAAGCCCAATTATCGACATACCCAATGCGCAAAAGTAATAATCCATAATCATACATCCACACACTACAATCCCCAAAGAACCAGTTCATGCTAGGGACTTAATAGACATTAAACATTATTTAAACATCTTTGAGCCAGGAGCTGGTGGCTCAAGTGGTAGATCACTAGCCTTGAGCTGAAGAGCTGAGGGACAGTGCCCAGGCCGAGTTCAGGCCCCACAACTACAAAAAAAAAAAAAAATCATTGGTGACAAGATAAAGATATACAGAGGTATAGACATAGAGCTTTTGTAACTATGGATTGTTACAGTTTTTTTTTTTTTTGTCCGTCGTGGGGCTTGAACTCTGGGCCTGGGCGTTGTCCCTCAGCTCTTCAGCTCAAGGCAAGCACTCTACCACTTGAGCTACAGCGCCACTTCCGGTTTTCTGGTAGTTTATTGGAGTCTCACGGTCTCTCCTGCCCGGGCTGGCTTTGAACGGCGATCCTCAGATCTCAGCCTCCTGAGTAGCTAGGATTACAGGCGTGAGCCACCAGCGCCCGGCTTTCTTTTTTTTTTTTTTAAATAAAAATCAAAGGAAAAAAGCCTGAAGTGGATGTGTGACTCTGGAAGACTCTAGGCTTGAGCAAAAAGCTAAGGATTCTGAGTTCAAGCCCCATTACTTGTACACACACACACACACACACACACAAAACAGGCAGACTTTTAAGTTTGAATCTTTGGGTTCAACTTTCTTCCTCTGATAGTAGAATCTCAGCACTTCAGTCTCATATGCAAAACTAGGGGTAACAGGGCAACACCCTGTCATAGAACTGCTGGGCCTATTGAGATATTCACAGCACTTAGCATAAGCACTAGCACTAGGAAAAGCTCAATGCTGTCTGGCTGTAGTGACCAGCACCCAGCACTGAGTCTGCCCCAGAAGGGAGATTCAGCAATCATCAGCTCACACGCCCCCCTCTTCCCTGTGCTGAAGCAGGACCCGCATGACCTGGTCACCTAGGTTTCAACTGAGGACACACAGACCCTGTTCAGACAGCCACACACCCTGGGCCTGGGCGCCCTCCCCAGGTGCGGTGGTCAGGGCTGCAGACAGGACTTTTTTTTCTTTTTTTTTTTTTAAGGATCATCACCACCGGATAAGAACCCAGTCGATGTGGAGGAATTCTTTCCTAAAGATTTACTCATCTGTAGAAAGTTCTCCAAGTACAAAACAATTAACAAAGAAAGGTGGAACCGAGCGTGTGTGCCAGGCCACAGCTGGCGGTGCAGCTTGTTAGCGAAGCCCTTGCCTGGCCCACACGAAGCCCCGGCTTTGATCCCCAGACGTAAACAGACATAAAGTGACCTGGCAGAGAGTCTGAGAGTGGAGGCACCGGTCACACCTGAAAGGCTGCCGGCCTCCCTGAGAACCGAGCCCACAGGGCAGCAGCCAAGGAGGGCAGATGGCAGCGTGCAGGAAGGCAGGGACCCTGTCCACCACCACCTGCCCTCTGCCACACAAGCTGCAGCTGAGGTCCCTCCACCAGTGTCCAGGGCTTGGATGTGATTTCAGCTGAGCTCGTTTAAAGGCTAATCCAAAGGCAGCATGGGGAGAAGCAGGTAGGGCCTGGTTGGCTGGCTGCTCCCTTCAGCTCCAGGGTAGAAGTGGAAAGGGGCAGTTCTCGAAGGTTCCACGGGACATGCAGGCTGGACCTGGAGACATCCATGGCCCATTAATGTCAGTCATCCTAGAGAAAGACAAGGCCAACAGACCTGTGAGTCTTCAGACAAATGAGGTACCCAGCCGTCGAGCTGACCCCACAGCCAGCGCGGCAACTCTACTGCTTGACAGCTAGCTTTATTGGAACAAAAGGACCTTCACACGCCGTCTACAGCTTTAGCCAAAATCGAAATGCTCTGTGGAGAGAGGACTTTCCAAATCAACAGGGCTGGGCACTCTGGCTCACGCCTGAAATCCTAGCCACGCAGGAGGCTGAGATCTGAGGATCAGTGTTGGAAGCCAGCCTGGTCAGACAAATCTGAAAGAGCCCTTTCTCCAAATAATCAGCAAAAATCTGGAAGTAGAGGCGTGGCTCAAGGGAGAGAGCACCAGCTGGGAGAGGAAAATGCCAGGTAAGAGTCAGCAGCTGCAGCCGGGCGCTGGTGGCTCACGCCTGTAATCCTAGCTACTCAGGAGGCTGAGATCTGAGGATCGCGGTTCAAAGCCAGCCCAGGCAGAAAAGCCTGTGAGACTCTTATTTCCAATAAACCAGCAGAAAAACAGAAATGGCACTGTGGCTCAAGTGGTAGAGCGCTCGCCTTGAGCTGAAGAGCTGAGAGACAGCGCCCAGAGTTCCAGCCCTATGATGACAAAAGAATTCTCCTGGACTTCCACCAAAGCTGGGAGCACCATGCTCCCCCCTCCCCCCGGGTCTAGCCCTGCCCCAACCAGAACCAGGACGTCCAACCACTCCCACGAAGACGCACACAGGCACCATGCCGGTTCCCCGGCCAACCTTGATCTGACCTACCCACTCCTCATCCTCTACCCCGTCTCCCTGCTCGCGGGTCTCGAGGGTCCCCTCGGAAGACTTCTGGGCCATGATGTTGTCTGTCCAGGACGCGCCTGTCTTTGCATCACCAGCAAAATTACACTTGGTCACGGTCCCAGCCTCCAGCTTGGCTAGCGACTCTGCAAGAAGAGAAACCGCCAGTCCCCTCCCGTGGCTGGACCCATCTGGACAGGTCGGGGGGGTGGTCTCTCTGAGGCCCTGGGTAGGACGGGCATGGCACAGCTCACCTAGGAAAGGGCCATCGCCCCGAGTCTTCAGCCGCACCCCGGTCCCCAGCTCCAGCTCCATCGCCTCCATATCTGCCTCGGGCACCCAGAAGGCCACCGTGCGCTCGGGGGCGAGGCCGGCAGTCAGGGCCAGCAGCTCCGGCTTGTTCACCAGCTCCTGCAGGGCCTCGGGTGTGAGCCTGTCTGTGTCCCCCTTGGCCTCCACCTCTGCAGGCACAGAGTCTCGGGTCAGCAGGCCGGACTAGCAGGGGAGGGCTGAATGCCACCCGTGCCCCACCGTCCGCAGGATGGGACTCCCCCAGCCCAGCACTGTCAAGGAGCTCCGGCCCGGGCTGTCCCGCCCTGCTGCCTAAGCAAGCCTCACTGAGTGACTTCCTTTCTGTTAGGAGAAATAGAAATGGAGACAGGGCCTACCTGTCAGGAGGTGTGAATGGGGTGAAGCCTGTGTACTGCTTGGCACCAGGCCTGGCACACAGCAAGCCTGCTGTGACAGTTAATGTGTTTTTGTTTGGTTGGGTTTTGTTGTGTGTGTGTCAGTCCTGGGGCTTGAACTCAGGGCCTAGGTGCTGTCCCTGAGCTCCTTTTTGCATAAGGCTAGCACCCTACCACTTGAACCACAGCTCCGCTATCAGCTTCTTGTTGGGTAACTGGAAACAAGAGTCTCACTGACTTTTCTGCCCAGGCAAGCTTCAAATCATGATCCTCAGATCTCAGCCTCCTGAGAAGCTAGGATTACAGGTATGAGCACCAGTGCCCAGCTGATGTTACCCAGTTCACGATGTGGTTATAACTGCACAAAGGGGTGAGGACAGGGCCTCAGAACCCGGTGAGGGTCTGGACAGTAGACAGGAGGGCACCGGGCCTTGGCACAGGCACAAGGAGAGCCCAAAGCCACGCTCGGGCTGAAAGGCTGTGGGAAAGAGCAGAGTTGGGAACGCCAGCCTGACCCCTGACCCCTGACCCCTGACTGAGAGCAGGTGGGGAGCAGGAAGCTGGTGCCAGGGAAACCCCAACATCAAGGCCAACCATGCTTGTATATGGCAAGGGTCAGAGATGAGGCCAGCCACATGTGCCTGGAGGCGGGAGGAAGCCGAGCTGGGGGGCGCGCAGGGTGGAGGCCGGGCACCGGAGGCTGAGCACCTACTGTAGGAGGACAGGAGGAAGCCGGTGTTCACCTTCCTGCTGTCACTGAAGTTGGGCTCGATCTCATTTCCCTTGGCATCAAATTTCCGGCGGTGAACGCGGCCGGGCCGGATGTACAAGACGTAGTACCGTTCCTGGGGTGGGGGGACAGAAGAGTGAGGGGCCACCCTGTCCCCACCCTCACACCCCTCACCCTCTGTCCTGAACCCCACTTCTGTTCAAAGAGGCCCAGGCGGGCTGGATGCCCCATCTGAACCTCCACCCACCCAGGCAGCCACAGCACACTGGCAGGACGGCACAGAACTCCACACAGAGGCTGAACCCCAAGCTCTGTGACCCCCAGATACCATAAGGCTGGAGTGGGGTATGGTCAAGATAGCATAGAAAGGGCACCAGAGCCGGGCCAGGTAGCGGAAGCCTGTGACCCGGCCATTTGTCCCTGGACACCTGGAGGACAGCGGAGGGCATGACCCCAGGGCAGAGGGCATGGGTGGCACGGAGTGGAGTCGGTCAGGATGCATCCGGTGAGGGCCGGCCTTGTGCTGTCTGGGCCCCAGGCTGCCCTGGAAGCTTCGGCCTGGCTCTGGGCCTTGACCTCCGGGGCCCGGCCCAGGCCATGGAGGGGCCCGCAGGGGGGACCCGATGTCGGGACTGAGCGTGGCCAGGGGTGGCCTCACCTTGCGGCCCCGGGCGTCGCAGACGCTGTGGCGGGAGACGTCGGCCAGTTCCCCCTCCAGCAGGACGCCGGGGCCGCTGTGGGGAGAGGCCGCGGGCTGGGCGCAAGGCCTTCGGAGGCCGCACGGGGCCCGCCGGGGCAGCCACCACTCCTGCCCGGGCCGGGGCCTGGAGGGCCAAGGGCTGGGCGCCGGCTGGACCCCCGTGCGCCCCGGGTCCCCGATCCCGAGCCGGGGGCGCCCGACCCCCGCTGGGCCCCGGCCCCCGGCCCCGGCCCGACCCCCGCTGGGCCCCGGACCCCGTCCCTGGCCCTACCCCCGCTGGACCCCGGCCCTGGCCCGACCCCCGCTGGACCCCGGCCCTGGCCCGACCCCCGCTGGGCCCCGGCCCCCGGCCCTGGCCCGACCCCCGCTGGACCCCGGCCCCCGGCCCCGGCCCGACCCCCGCTGGACCCCGGCCCGACCCCCGCTGGACCCCGGCCCTGGCCCGACCCCCGCTGGGCCCCGGACCCCGGCCCCGGCCCCCGCTGGGCCCCGGCCCCCGGCCCCGGCCCGACCCCCGCTGGGCCCCGGACCCCGGCCCGACCCCCGCTGGACCCCGGCCCTGGCCCGACCCCCGCTGGACCCCGGCCCCCGGCCCCGGCCCGACCCCCGCTGGACCCCGGCCCCCGGCCCTGGCCCGACCCCCGCTGGACCCCGGCCCTGGCCCGACCCCCGCTGGACCCCGGCCCTGGCCCGACCCCCGCTGGACCCCGGCCCTGGCCCGACCCCCGCTGGACCCCGGCCCGACCCCCGCTGGACCCCGGCCCGACCCCCGCTGGGCCCCGGCCCCCGGCCCTGGCCCGACCCCCGCTGGACCCCGGCCCTGGCCCGACCCCCGCTGGGCCCCGGCCCTGGCCCGACCCCCGCTGGACCCCGGCCCTGGCCCGACCCCCGCTGGACCCCGGCCCCCGGCCCCGGCCCCCGCTGGACCCCGGCCCGACCCCCGCTGGGCCCCGGCCCCCGGCCCCGGCCCGACCCCCGCTGGACCCCGGCCCCCGGCCCCGGCCCCGGCCCGACCCCCGCTGGCCCCGGCCCCCGGCCCCGGCCCTACCCCTGGTGCGCGGCGGGGTCCCAGGCGCCGGGCAGCCGCGCGCCCCGCACCGCCCGGTTCCGCAGCGCGCGGTCGTCGTAGAGGCGGCTCATGGCCCCGGATCCCGCCGCGCCGCGCCCAGGCCGCGGGGCCGCCGATCCCGGAACTGCGCCGCCCGCCCCCGGGCCCCCGGGCCGGGCTTAAAGGCGCCGCGTCCCGCCCGAGCCCGCGCTGCGCGGCGCCCCGGCTGGGGGGGGGGGGGGTGCGCTGAGGCGCCGCTTGTCCGCCCGCTCTCCCCCCTCCCATTCCCCCCTCCTTGCAACTAAAAGGGAAATCTCGCACCCGTGCACAAAGGGGAAACTGAGGCCCAGGGAGCAGACTGGGTGGCGGGTGGTGGCACGGGCCCTCCTCGGAAGAGTAAGCAGGGGCACTCCACCACTTGAGCCACGCCTCCCGCCCGCCGCGAGCAGATCGTTTCAATGCATGTTTACTACTGGGTTAGTGTAAAGGTGGACAGATTATGGTCTATCCCCTTTCTGAGTCTCAGATTGGTTAGATTGCGTTGTGGGCACCCTTTTGGAAGACACCTGAATTCTTTCCAAAAGTCAGCCTAACAGGCCACCTTCCATCGCATCTCAGGAAAGGAGACTGGGACTTGAACTCAGGGCCTGGGTGCTGTCCCTGAGCTGCTTTTGCTCAAGGCTAGTATCACTTAAGCCACAGCTCCACTTCCAGCTTTTTTCTCTTTGCTTATGTGGTGCTGAGGAATCGAACCCAGGGCTTCACGCATGCAAGGCGAACACTCTACCCCTGAGCCACCTTCCCAGCCCAAGCACTCGCATCTTAACTCCAGCTCCTCAACACAGTCTGCAGAACAGGCAGACAGGAGCAGAAGCCCTGCACCAGTGGCTCATGCCTGTAATCCTAGCTGAGATCCAAAAATCTAGGTTCAAAACCAGCCCTGGCAGGAAAATCTCTGATCTCCATTTAACCACCAAAATGCTGGAAGTACTGGTATGGCTCAAGTGGTAGAGCACTGGATTGAGCCCTGAGCCAAAAAAAAAAAAAAAACTAAAGGACAGTGTTTGGGTCCTAAATTCAAGCCTCCCTCCTGGCACCAAAAGCAAACAAAAATAGAAGAACTAGCCCAGAAGAAGCAGCAAAACAGCCTGAAAGAAACACAAAGACACTGCAAACAAAGGCAGCAGTAGGAGAGAAAAGCGTCAAATCAGATGCCAGGGGAGGACTGACCATCCATCATGCTCCCGTCAATAAATGCAAATGTGGGACCTGGTTTGGAAAGAAAATCCATGATGGGGTTTGAATCCGACATCTCTTCATGTCACCTCAGTGTGCCGGGCTCACAGTCCTCTGTCTACACTGGCAGAAACACCTCCCCTCCCCCTGCCCACACTTCACCCCACTGCCTCAGCCTGAACTCACTCCCGAGTTCAAGCCCCAGGACCAGCACAAAAAAAAGAAAAAGAAAAGAAAATGATTACAAGACGTGCAGCAGTGGTCCATACCTATAACACTAGCTACTCAGGAGGCTGAGATCTGAGGATTGTGGTTCAAAGCCAGACCTGGCAGGCAAGTCCGTGAGATGAATCAATCACAGAAGATGTTGGAAGTGGTGCTGTGGCCCAAGTGGTAGAATGCCCAGCCAGGCCAAGTTGGAGCCCCAGGATCAGAAAAAAAATCATTACAAACACCTGTCACCATTTACCAAGGATAGCAGTGAATGATATGTATCCCAGAATGGCAGAGAGACAGAGAGAAAGAGACAGAGACAGAGAAACAGGGAGAGGGAGAAAAGGAAGAGGGAGAGGGAGAGGGAGAGGGAGGAAAGGAAGGAAGGAAGGAAGGAAGGAAGGAAGAGGTAAGGGGTTGGAGGTATGACTCAGCTGGTAAACCACTAACCAATGAGCAAAAGTATCCAGTACCAAAATTGAGACCAGTCTCCGACCAAAAAAAAGGGAGAGATGTGTACATTTAACCTAAGAGGTAAACAAACTTAAATCAATAGTTATTGGCAATTTGTGTCTTTCTTCTTTTATTCTAGATCAATCTGGAGGTTTATCAATTTTATTGATCTTCTCAGAAAACCAGCTTTTGTCATGTTGATTTTCCTCTAATGCTTGTTGGTTTCCTATTTTATTGATTTGTTCCCTTCCTTCCTTCTTACTGCAGACTTTTGAAATGAATTTGCTCCTCTTTTCCTTTTCGTTTTTGAATTCTTAAAAATTCTTACAAGTTCTTTTTCTTTTTTGAATTCCTACAAATTTCCCATTCTCTCTCTCTCTCTCTCTCTCTCTCTCTCTCTCTCTCTCTCTCTCTCTCTCTCTCTCCAGTCCTGGGGCTTGAACTCAGGGCTTGGGCACTGTCCCTGAGTTTTTTTTGCTCTGAGCCACAGCGCCACTTCCCACTTTTTCTGTGTGTGTGATACTGAGGCATGGAACCCAGGGCTTCATGTGTGCTGGGCAAGCACTCTACAACTAAGCCACATTTCCAGCCCCAAACATCCCATTTTCTATAACAAATGGTTGTACATCTATAAATTCCCTTCTGAAAGACCTGTGTGCATGTGTGTATGTGGAGATTTTGTGTTTAAATGACAGGTTGAGTTTCTGCCACAGAAAGTAGGATATCTCACTTATTTTAGGACTTGAAGTTAGGGCCTGGGTACTGTCCCTTAGCTTTTTTCTTTCTCAGAACTCGTGCTCTACCATTTGAGCCACAGCTCCACTTCCAGCTTCTGGCAGTTTACAGGAGGGCTTGGAGTCTGGATCCTCTGATCCCAGCCTCCCGAGTGGCTGGGATTGTAGACAAGAACTTGGGAGCTGGGCTTTGACCTACCCTCTCACAGGAGCACTTGATTTTTTTTCTCCTCTGAGAGTGACAGGAGACAATTAGCACAGTGGCTGGAGCACCCACAGCTCGGGGACACGCAAAGAGAACTAAAATGGAGGAAGTGATCACATGATTTCACAGAGAAAGCCAGGCAATTAAAACTCCCAGCTGGGAGGGCACAGGTTCAGTCTCGGAAGGTCCGGGTCTCAAATCCCACCCCACACCTAAGGTTTAAATTGGCTTCCTCCAGCCTAAAGTGAGAGCTCAACCAACTACCCCAGAACAATAGACTAACTTAACAAAACAAAGGCGCTCAAGGATCCGCCTACCACTACCTTACCCTGGGGGCAAATTGGCCTATCTGTATTTGTTTTTGTGATAGTTTAGGGGCTTGAACTTAGGGCCTCAACACCGTCCCTAAGCTTTTTCACCCTTAATCACTTAAGCCACAACTCCACTTCTGGCTTTTCGGTGATAAATTGGAGATAAGCCTGTCAAGGACTTTTCAGCCTTGGGCTAGCTTGGAATTAGATCCTTTAGCTCTGCTATCTCAGCCTCCAGAGCAGCTATGATTACAGAAGTGAGCCTCCGAGCCCAGCCCCCACCAAACCTGTCTACATTGGAATGCTGGGAACTCTCCCAGCCTAAGGCCCCAGCCCAAGCCAACACCGTCTTTGGGACCTGGGGCTAGGAATTCCTTGGGGCCAATCAGAATGAGTACTCAAACCCCCGAGGCTCAGGTTGTCCACTCCCCTGCCTGGAAACCACCTGCCTTGAAGAACTTCACTCACATTTGCTCTTTTCTTGACTGACTGCTTTCCGTGGAAGCCAGAACTGGGACAGCTGCGCTGAGAACAGGAGCAAGCTTTGTTTTCAAGTTTTGCCAATCATAGTTGGTCCTTGCACATGTGCATGAGTACATTGCACAAGTGTACACCTGTGTGCACTGGAGTGTCTTCTGTGTGCAGGTGTGCACCAAACATACTAACCCAGTGCCCTGTCACTGAGCCTTACATTTGTGCTTAATGTGCTTAATTTTAAAATAATCAAAAGTATTTTTTTTTTTTTGGGCCCGGTCGTGGAGCCTGAACTCTGGGCCTGGGCGCTGTCCCTCAGCTCGTCAGCTCAAGGCTAGGGCTCAATCACTTGAGCCACAGCGCCACTTCCGGTTTTTTTCTTTTTTGCTTATGTGGTGCTGAGGAATCGAACCCAGGGTTTCATGCATGCAAGGCAAGCGCTCTACCACTGAGCCACATTCCCAGCCCTCAAAAGTATTCTTAAATAGAATAAAAATTTAAATACTGACCTGTGCAGTAAGTGGAAATCAGGAAGTAAATAGCATATACTAACAGATCTTACTTATATCTAAAAGTAGAGGCTGGGTGCTGGTGGCTCTTAGCTATAATCCTATCTAGTCAAGAGACCAAGAGCTGAGGATCTTGATTAGAAGCCAGCCCAGGATGGAAAGTCTGGGATTTTCTTATGTCCAATTAACCACCAAAAAGCTGGAGATCAAGTAGTAGAACGCTAGGCTTGAGCACGAAAGAAAGAAAAGAAAGGAAGAAAGAAAGAAAGGAAGGAAGGAGAAAGGAAGGAAGAAAGAAAAAGAAAAAATGAAAAGGGGAAAAACTATGCAACTGTATCCTAAGGACCACACAATGAATGAGAATAAATAAATAAATAATAAAGTAAATAATGGAAAAGAAAAGACTTGGTTAGCAATGAACATTTCTGAAAGTTACAAAACTATATGGAATAGTCTTCATTTTACTTTATAGATATATACTTATACATCTTTGCTGGGTGCTGGCGGCTCACACCTATAATCCTAGCAACTCAGGAGGCTGAGATCTGAGGATCAAGGTTCAAAGCCAGCTGAGTCAGGAAAGTCTGTGAGATTCTTTTTTTTTTTTGGGGTCTGGCCATGGGGCCTGAACTCTGGACCTGGGCGCTGTCCCTCAGCTCATGCAAGGCAAGCGCTCTACCACTGAGCCACCTTCCCAGTCAAGCCCTGAGATTCTTATCTCTAATAACCCCCCAGAAAACTGGAAGTGCTGCTGTGGCTCAAAATGGTGGAGCACTCGCCTTGAGCTGAACAGCTCAGGGACAGCGCCCAGGCCCAAAGTCCAACCTCATGGCCAACAATAAATAAATAAAACACACATCTTTATATAAATTAAGTACTCTGGCAGGATACACACCAAAGTCAATCCCTGCCTGCAGTGGCCAGTGTGTATGCATGTGTGCGTGTCTGTGTTTTCTGATCTTCCTATAATAAACCCTTATTGCTTTTCTAGTAAGAAATAAAATCATTTTGTGGTATTGACTGGAGAATAAACTGACAGATCAATAGAACCGAATGGGAAACTGAGAAAGAGATTCGATAAATAAGGCATGTGACCTGCAGTAAGGAGAGTGGGGGCCATGGGAAAGAGCAGTGGTTGCATCCATATCTTTGGCTCTCCTGGCTAAAAATTTGGAAGATAAAGTTGAGCTCTGTCTCATACCAGATGCTAAACGAACCCTTGCATTATTCAAAAACAAACAAAAACGTGGAATTTTGTTGTTGTTGTTGTTGTTATTTTAAAGTAAAAACTCGGACGCTTTGGACTGGAGGTGGGCTCACAGAGCACAGCTCCAGCCTAGGGAGCCCAGGGCCATGAGTTCAAAAAAAAGCCATGTAAGCCAGGCCCTGGTGGTTCACTCCTGTAATGCTATACTCAGGGGGCTGAGATCTGACAATCAAAGCTCGAAGCTAGCCCAGGGAAGTGAAGTCCCTAAGACTCTGAGCTCCTACTAAAAGCCAGAAATGGAGCTGTGGCTCAAGTGTTAGAGCAACAGCTTTGGAAGGAAAACAGTATAAAACAGCGCCCAGGCCTGCGTTCAAGCTCCAGTAGCAACACAAAAATGAAACAAGACAGTCTTTACAACTAACACCAAATCACAGGAATGGATTTGTGACATTTATAGCAAAGCATGAAATTGGTATAAATGTGTTTGTGAGTAGAGTCACAGAAAATAAATGGAAAAAATAAAAAAGCAGCAGTAGTTAGCCATAGAGATGAGCTTAACAGGTATTTTAATTTTCTTCTTTACCTTTTCCTATATTTCCCAAACATTTAGTTATTATAAGCAAGGGCTTGGGGCTGGGAAGGTGGCTCAGTGTTAGAGTGTTTGTTTTGCATGCATGAGGCCCTTGGTTCGATTCCTCAGCGCCACATTAGCAGAAAAAGCCGGAAGTGGTGCTGTGGCTCAAGTGGTAGAGCGCTAGCTTTGAGCTGAAGAGCTGAGGGGCAGCGTCCAGGCCCAGAGTTCAGGCCCCATGACCAACAAAAAAATAAGAATAAAAATTTATTTATTTATTTATTTATTTATTTTTGGGTCCGGTCGTGGGGCCTGAATTCTGGGCCTGGACGCTGTCCCTCAGCTCTTCAGCTCAAAGCTAGTGCTCTACCACTTGAGCCATAGTGCTACTTCAGCTTTTTTCTTTTTTTCTTATGTGGTGTGGAGGAATCGAACCCAGGGCCTCAGGCATGCAAGGCAAGTGCTCTACCACTGAGCCACCTTCACCTTCCCAGCCATGAATAAAAATTTAAAAAGGAAGGTGTCATATTTTTCTAATCAGAAAAATGTGGAGGCTGGGGATGAAGCTAATGGTAGAGCTATTGCCTAGCCTTTTTTTTTTTCTTTTTCCAATCCTGGGCTTTGAATTCCAGGCCTGGACCCTGTCCCTGAGCTTCTTTTGCTCAAGGCTAGCACTCTACCCCTTGAGACACTTCTGGCTTTTTCTGTGTATGTGGTACTGAGGAATGGAACCCAGGGGCTTCATGCATGCTAGGCAAGCACTAAGCCACATTCCCAGCTATGTGTAATTTTTTTAAGCTAAAAAAGTATATAACGGAAGTGGCGCTGTAGCTCAAGTGGTAGAGCGCTCGCCTTGAGCTGCAGAGCTGAGGGACAGCGCCCAGGCCCAGAGTTCAAGCCCCACGACTGACAAAAAAAAAAAATAAAAAAAAAATAAAAAATAAAAAAATAAAAAAGTATATAAATAATAATAATAATAATTAAGCTAGGCACCCATGGCTCACGCCTGTAATCCTAGCTATTCAGGAAGTTAAAATAGGAGGATATCGGTTCAAAGCCAGCCTGGGCAAGCAAGTCTAAGAGACTCTTATTTCCAATTAACCACTAGAAAACCAGATGCTGTGCTGTGGCTCAAGAGGTAGAGCCCTGAGCTGAAGAAGAGCTCAAGGATAGCGCCCAGGACCAGAGTTCAGGCCTCATGACGAACAAAAATATTAATTAATTAAAGTGAAGATGTGAAAGGAAATCAGATGACTTTAAGGTTTGAATGGAGAAAACTGAAGCCATTTAAAAAGGAAAATAAGCCAGGTACTGATGGTCACACCTGTAATCTTAGCTACTCAGGAGACTGAGATCTTGAGGATCTTGGTTAGAAGCCAGCCTGGGCAGAAAGGTCCCTGAAATGCTTACTTAGCTCAGTTAACCACCAGGAAGCCAGAAGTGGAGTTGTAACTCAAGTGGAAGATGGCTAGCCTTGAGTGTAAGTACCAGCACTGCCCTCCCCACATCCCCAAGTATTTTGTTTAAAGTTCTGCAAATGTCTGGAGAATCTACTCACACAAGGTGTTTCTGAGTAGGAGAAATGAAGGCCGTGAGCAAGAAATGAAAGTAACTTCAAACATTTTCCAACATTTGTTGGTGTTACATTTTAACATTTAGTGTAAATATTTTAAGGGAAAGAAATAGAACAACCAGACAGTCAGGAGCCGGTGGCTTACACCTGTCATCCTAGCTCCTTAGGAGGTTGAGATCTGAGGATCACATTTTTTCATTTGTTTTTGTCAGTTGTGGGGCCTGAACTCTGGGCCTAGACACTGCCCCTCAGCTCTTCAGCTCAAGGCTAGTGCTCTACCACTTGAGCCACAGCACTACTTCTGGCTTTTTCTGCTAATGTGGTGATGAGGAATCAAACCTAGGGCCTCAGGCATGCTAGGCAAGCACTCTTCCACTGAGCCACCTTCCCAGCCCCAAGATCACGGTTTTAAACCAGCCCAGGCAGGAAAGGGAGACTCTTACCTCTAATTATTCACAGAAAAAGCCAGAAGTGGTAGAGCACTAGCCTTGAGCAAAAGAGAACTCAGGGAAAGACATAGGATTTGATAACATAACTCCACCCCATGTCAAAAATGTGTGTGTGTGTCTGTCTGTCTGCCTGTCTCTAAGTGTGTTGGTAGGTAGGTAAGTAGATGAGAGGATGAGAGAGAGAGAGAGAGAGAGAGAGATTTCTCCAAAGAAGATACAAATGGCTAACAAATACAAGAAAATGTACTTGGTAAGATGAATCATCAGAAAAACGCAGATCACAGTCATGAGCCATTAGAACAGCTACTCTAAATAGGTGTACTCTGTGTATATGACCATACGTGTAATATTTATCTAAGTCCCAGTCAACAGAGTACTTGGATATACATCATAAAGTACACATAGGATATATATAAGGCAGACCTCCCCAGGCCTCTCCTCTGACTGGCTCACAGCCCGTGACATCACCCCCTGCCACCTGTCTTGATTGGATGACTGGCTCTGCAGGGGCGGAGCTGCCTTCAGCAACTGGGCCCCTGTGGGCAGCATTCTGCTGGAGACTCCAGGCCTGGCCTGGCCTGGGGAGTGAGCCCCCGGCCTTGGGCCCAGTGGCTTTCATGTTTTTATGAGGATGATGGGATCTTTCAGAGCCTTGAGCATCTTCATTCCAGCTTGTGGGTTGCCCAGAGGGTGGAGCTCACTTTCCTATAGGCTTCTGGGTCCTGGGGACTCAGAATGATTGACTTCCCAAGGATTCTGGGTCCCTCCTCAGCCCTCTCTCTTGGGACCCCAGGAGATCTCAGGAGTCTTGGTGGATTCTTCTGGGAGCTGATCCTTAAGAATGGAAAATTCTAAAATGAGAAGTGGAAGGTTAGACACACACCAGTGGCCACCATGGAGGGCTCTAGATGTCACTAGAAGGAAGGGCTGGGCACTTAGTCCAGAGCAAGGCCTCCCCTGGGCAAATACCTAGGGTTCACTTCCAAACCGGCCCAGGCTAGACTCCGGCAGGGCCTCCGAGTTTCTGACTCGGTTCTCTTCTCTCGATAATAGCAGAATTCACGTCAGAACCCGAGGCAGATGCTGTGAAGAGCTTCCCACGTATCCTCTGTGACCTATACAATACACACACCGCATGCTTTCACTCGGGCTGGCCTGGACCAAGAAGATCCTACCTGTGCCATTCCTGCGGCTGAGCCACCGCGCCTGGCCTCACCCAGCCTTCCACAGCCCCTCACGCGGCCTCTGCAGTGTCAGAGGTAGACCTAACCCTAACCCTAACTCTGCCCATGCTCAGGGGGGCCTCAAGTGGCCTGCTCAATCTCCAGATTCCCCGCAGAGCCAGACCTGACCCTAAATCTCTCCTATCCTTTACCCATGGTTCGTGCTGAAGAGTGGCCGGACCTTAGCAGCTTCCTGTTGCCCACTCTTCTAGAACCTTCCAGGGATGGCTCCCTCCCCCTGGAGGATGGCTGTGTTTCAGGACAGAAGCCAGATGACAGCACAGTGTCTGCGGAGCCCTGGGAACATATGTGGCGCGTCTATTTGGGGGTGCCGGGGAGCCTGGAGCGCCGACTGTTTAAAAACATTCCTTCTCCTGCAGCAAGACGCATCCTCCAAAGAGGAGTATGAAATCAATAGTGGAAACCCAAACTGGCTCTGAGACTCACTGATATCGACGAGGGGAGGGGGAAGGAGGGAGGGAGGGAGAGAGAAAATATGAATCTGGGAGGTATTTTTCTCTTTCCTTTTTTTAAAAAATCGTGACAGAATACTCAACCCACATTCAACAAAATGTAGATATATCGGCATATATAGCAGCAAGCGCTAAGCAAGTCCACATTCAGGTGTAGCTCGATCAAACAATCAGATTGACGCCAAGCCTCAACTCCTCTGCTCTGCTCTGCTCTGTTGGTTTCCTCCTCCCCCTTCTTCCTATTCTTTTTGAATCCTAAAGTTAGCTGCTTTTCAGGAAAGGGAAAACCTTAGACAAATAAGCAAACAATGGAGTTTCACTCACCCAATTTCTCCTGACTTAATGCCTTCTTTGGCTGAACTTGGGCAGGAGGGAAAGGAGCGGAAACTGAGTCCAGATGGGCCACTGGCAGCTGAGGAACAAGGCCCAGAGGGCTGGGTCCCTGTCACAGCCACTGAAAAGCCCACTAGTGGCGCACACCTGTAATCTTGGCCTGCTCAAGAGGCTGAGATCTGAGGATTGCAGTTCAAAACCAGCCTGGGTAGGAAAGTCTCTTAAAACTTTTCTCTCTAACCAGCTAAAAACCAGAAGTGCAGCTGTGGCTCAAGTGGTAGAACACCAGCCTTGAGTAGAAAAAGCTAAGGAAAAAATAAAGAACTTTATTTCTGCTTGTTAGAATTATGGATGGTTTTTGTATTTTTCCTTTAGTCCTTACCTATCAAATTTCTTTTTTTTTTGGATCCGGTCGTGGGGCCTGAACTCTGGGCCGGGGCGCTGTCCCTCAGCTCTTCAGCTCAAGGCTAGCGCTCTACCACTTGAGCCACAGCCCCACTTCCGGCTTTTCTTATGTGATGCTGAGGAACCGAACCTAGGGCCTCGAGCATGCAAGGCAAGTGCTCTACCACTGAGCCACCTTCCCAGCCCCTTCCCTATCAAATTTCTTTACCAATTTTGCCATTTTTCCTTCTCCTTGAGCAAGCTGAATTCTCCCCACCCCCTTAGCTCTTCAGCTCTACCACTTGAGCTACAGCGCCACTTCTGTTTATGTGGTGCTGAGGAATTGAACCCAGGGCTTCATGTATGCTAGGCAAGCGCTCTACCACTGAGCCACCTTCCCAGCCCTGACCCCCCCCCCCCCGCGATGCCCAAGTCTTATTAAGGTATAATTCACATTCACACACACACACACACACACACACACACACACACCTACATATAATTTGGTGAGCTCAGACTTAGATCACCCCATCAGGACAATTCGAGTATCCACTGTCTCCAGAAGTTTCCTTTTGTCCGCCAGAATTGTTTTATGTGGTGAGAATGATTATATTGTTTTATAACAATTGCTTAGATATTTCAAAAGCCAACTTCTCATTCATTTGGAGTGAAAGACTTGGCCCAGCCTTCCAGAAGCTTCCTGGTGAGCTAAGGAGACAGCCGCGCCCCCGGCCCCCCTCGCGCCCCCGGCCCCCCTCCCGAGGTGGTGCAGCCTGAAGTAGTTTACCTCGGAGAAGTTTGGTGAACTGGGAGGAAAGAGGAACTGGGTTTTTGGTGCTGATCTGGGCTCTGGATTGTGTAGTCCACTGTGGGAGGGTATTGTTTCCAAAGAGAAAAGAGCTTTTTGTATAGGGAGATAAAGGGTGGGAACAGGGAGGATGGGGGAGGAGGAGGAGGCAGGGCTGGGCAGATAGATGTCCGGAGAGAGGCCTGGCTGATGCCATTCTGTGGGTGGACTTCGTGAAGATCCGGGGCACAGTCTCCCAGCCTGCCCTAGGCCTCCGTGTGTGGCCAGCCCTGTACCTGGGCTCTCTATGTCCACAGGGGCTCAGTAAACATTTATTATCTGTGAGAAGCAGCAGAAGAATGAATTCAACTGTCTGAAATAGACCATCTCCGTGGCGCCGGGACCGGACGCTCCCTCGGTTGGTGTTTTGAGTCTTTCTTCTCTCTCTAGGCCAGGAACCCCGTGCTGAGCTGCCTGCTGGGGTTTTCAACCTGCGCCAAGCAGGTCAGTGTCGCGCAGACAGTTCTCCGTGACTCCCCACGTCCAGCCCAGCCCTTCCTGCCAGCTCTGAGCTCGGTCACCCTGTTTCCTGTGCTCCTCCCCGCTTCATTGACTGGATTCCCAATGGAAGCCTTGATTTTTTAAAAATCAAATATTATCAGGAGGCTGAGATCTGAGGATGGAGGCTCATTGCCAGTCTGGGCAGGAAAGTCTGTGAGATTCTAATCTCCAATAACCTGGTAAAAAAGTCAGAAGTGGAGCTATGGCACAAAAGGGAGAGCACCAGCCAGGAGT